AATATAATCATCACTATTTTATACTTTATCCAATGGTATATAATTACTCAATAGATTTAAACATGGGCTAAGTTTGAACTAATATTAAGTGACCTACATTTTAGACACAACACTGACTCCAAAATAGTTCCAAACAGTCACAGCAGAAAATTTGTGGTTCCAATCAAAGTTTTTTTTGTTTTGTTTGAGTGATTCAACATTTTTAACAAATCATCAGTAGCTTTAAGTGTTGGGCAGTAACGCATTACTTTGTAACGCATTACTGTAATTTGATTACTTATTTAGTAACGGAGTAATTTAACACGTTATAATTTATAGCGGCACGCGTCTGCGTCTCCGACTCGGCACCCAGAGCCGATTGCAGCCACTCTAGTCACTGCTTGTGTTTATACCAGTTGCGGCACGTTTTAGAAGCGTCCCAGAAGCAACTCTGCGTGCTGCTTCACTAAAGATACAAGCATACAGCTCTTTAGATTAAAAAAATTATGACTAGTGCTGTGACTACAACATACATAAACCTGCCAATATCCGTGGCCTTGACTTACCGCGAGAGGAAAAAAATAAGTTTTTAACCACACATCTATCATTTTTATCATATTTATAAAATATTCCAAAACTTTTGTGCAGACCTCTAATGGAAACCAGGCGAGTGACTTGTTGCCACCTACTGGCAGTTTTGGTTTTATATTTAAAGGATCATTTTCCCAACATTTTATATTTGTATATTCAAAATATTTTGGATTTTATAAAATTAATATTATAACATTATATATCTATGTGTAAACAGTCTCTGTAAATACTAATCTAAATTTCGCCTGATTTAATTTGATCGGTAACAGCCCTGCAATAGTCCTATCTTTCTACTGTAATTGCATTTATTGAGTAACTAAATAAATAAATAAATGTAAGGGGACATATACATTTAAAAGGGTTAGTAGAGTTGACTTTATAGAAAGGTTAAAATGCCACAGGAAATAGATTTTAATATCAGCCCCCTAATGGAAAAATTTTGGAAACGTTTCTGTCACTGCTTATACAGGTTTGGGATTATTTAAGTTTTTATACCATTTTCAACTGTATCCAACAAAGTTTCCTCCTTTTTGGTGTTATAAAAATGGCCACCCTATGTAAGAGTCTTCCTCCTGGTAAGCTGCTGTCCAAGCTTCTCAACTAGCTTTAAAAATGTACACTACATAGGATTTCTCATGCACACTAGTCTAGAGTATATGTGTCTGAAAATAAACACAGTGACAGTGTCTCAGAAAGGAAGCCCATATCAGAGCTTTGCGTTTGCCCTGATGCCCAATGACTCATTGAGGTCACTCTTACTCATATTATGAATATTCAGCACTCTCTCTGACTCGTCCAGATTAGAAACATTGTGTGGGGAATTCACTAGGAATGAATTGTGCCCACACCATTTATTTGCATTGTTTTAGCACTCAATTCCATTGCCTGAATTATGCAAATTATGGCACTGTAGTTAAGTATCAGATACCAATCGATAATACCAATCGATCCATGTCAGATTTGTATAGCTGACAGATATACAGATTCGTAATACCTCAGAGACGTATTCTAAAATCAGCATGGTCAAGCTAAAGCAGTCTGTACCATCTTAGTGTCCCACAGCCTAAAGACATCAGCTCTTAAATTCTCAAGGCCTCTGTCTAAGAGACAAGGATAAAGACTTCTTGTCGGGATTGTAAGTAGCCCTGGGTCTAGCCGTCTCCCCGCCGCAGATGCAGCAGAGAGAGACAGGGAGATTTGGAACATTAGTCTAATTGCTTGGTGCTTGAATTGTCATTTAAAGCCATTTCACCCGCACTGATAAAGGATCACGCGGTCTTCTGTTCTGTCCTGCTGCATTTCCCACTCACTGCCATCACATAAAACATATGCTTTTTTCCATGTAAAACAATCTGATTATGGAAATAAACATTAAAAGTGCTGTATCCTACATGTTTACAGTACTTATGGTTACCAATTTAGGAATAAGCATGTTGTTTTTGCAACTGTGTAGTTCAGATTTCGAAGAAAATGAATTGTTATCATTGGCTAAAATGAAAAACACAGTTTTTTTTTTTTTACATTTTCCATTTGTGAAAGGAATACTACATTTGTCAAGATCATGCACTATTAATTTGTCCTGCAATGCAATGCATTCAATCTAACCTTCCATATTAAATGTGATAAATGAACTGAAATCAATGATTTTTAACATCAACTTTTGGCAGTTTGATCATGGAGATGTTTTTACCCAAATTGAGATTCAAATTTGTTTTTATTTATTTTTGTTGAGAAAATATACTACTATTGTCTATTATCAAAAGTTGTAAGATTTATTTATTTTTTAATTTTTAAAAATTATTTTACAGTTTTATTTAGCATGGATGCATTAAATTGATAAAAAAAATTAATTTAATTAAAGACATTGTTAATACTGTAAAAATTAACAGTACATGTAAGTGTAAAAGGGAATTAACAGTAAAATGTTACAGAATAATTCTATTTCAAATGCTGTTCTTTTAAACCTTCTAGTCATCAAGTAGTAGTAGTAGTAATAATAATAATAATAATAAAAAAGTTTTCACTATAATAATATTAATTACAATTTTATATTTTCTTATAAATAATTATTTCATTTTAGATTATATTAATATAAAATAAAAATATTGATTTTTAATTTAATATTATATTAGGTGAAAGATACATCATGCAGATGCGCTGGGACACATCATCAATGATGTATTTGTTTTTACATTTCACAAAAATATTAAGCAGCACAACTGTTTTCAGCATTAATAAAAAAATGCTACAGCCAGTTTGAATTTGTGGAACAGTTTCTTTAATGAATCTAAAAAGTACACTTATAGAGAATAGATAAAACAGCTCGTACAGAAATAGAGTTCATATATCTAACAACATTTATTGATTAATCATGAACAGAAGAACTGATATAGATATGTAAGTCAATCAATGTAGAAGTTTAAAATAGATTGCTCTGGGACAGATATAGACTGTCTTGGTATCATTTCCTGTGACGGTATGGAGTGGGCAGCCTGTGTAGCTACAGAAAGCATACGAAATTGAATTTTTGTGTAACCAGAGATAGGTGACAGGGAGCAGGTGCTGGATTAGACATTCCTGCTCTGATGTCATCAGCTGAGTTGGCAGACAGGAAGTGTTCATCCGCGCGCACCACCTGCCCACAGACAATGACCCAGCACAATTCCCTGTGTGCGTGTGGATGTGTTTACACAGGGTTCATCTGAAAGACTCATCACTAAATCATGCATGAATTAAAAAGATCATTTCATCAAACGCCTACACTGAGGGGCATTTCATTGCTCAAGGTTGCTCTTTCATAGCTCAGGTAAATGTTCTGAGTTTTGTTTCATTTAAGGAGCAATTCCTTGGGGGACGTAAAAATAGAAACAGCCGAGACAATAATAGCAAAGATAATTCTGTCCTGGATGCATCTGATGAAATGTAAGTATCAAAATCTCTGACTTTTGATTGCAGACTTTAATTGCGAAATTGAAGAGCACAACGATATATACAAATTTAAACCATTTCTAGTTCACAAACTACTCTAAATTGCATTTAGTCATTAAACACACTTGCACTACCCTTCAAAAGTAAAAAAAATAAATAAATAAATTTGGCTCAGAAATGCTGCACTTATTTGATCAAATATGCAGGAAAATACTAATAATAAATATTATTACTAATTAAAATAATTTTCTATTTGAATATACTGTATTTTAAAATGTTGTTTATTCCTGTGATGCAAAGCTGATTTTTTTTCTGCATCATTAGAAGATTTCAGTGTCACATGATCCTTCAGAAATCATTCTAATTATGTTGATATTCCTTTATTATAATATGTTGCTGTTCAAGAAACATTTATTATTAGTATTATTATTATTATTATTATTATCAATGTTGAAAACAGTTGTGCTACTTATTTATTTATATATTAACCATTTATTTATTTATGTAATTGTGGAAAATGTAATACATATTTTCAGAATTATGCCCTGAATTCCATTCATTTGATGAATGGAAAATTTCATTTTTTTTTTAAAAGAACAGCATTTATTTAAAATAGAAATATTTTGCATGAATATATTTCATTATATTCTTATCACTGTCATTTTTGATCAATATAATATGTCTTTGTTGAATCATTTAAAAATTAAAATGATGATGATTATTATTTTTATTTTTATTATACATTATTGTAGTATTATTAGAATCAAAATAATAAACAATAATAATAAAACAATTTATTTTCAAAAGTTTCAGCAATAATTTGTAAAGAAAGTGTTTTTGCATTTATTGGTGTTATAATTTAAAAGAACAGCATTTATTTAAAATAGAAATATTTTGCATGAATATATTTCATTATATTCTTATCACTGTCATTTTTGATCAATATAATATGTCTTTGTTGAATCATTTAAAAATTAAAATGATGATTATTATTATTTTTATTTTTATTATACATTATTGTAGTATTATTAGAATCAAAATAATAAACAATAATAATAAAACAATTTATTTTCAAAATTTTCAGCAATAATTTGTAAAGAAAGTGTTTTTGCATTTATTGGTGTTATAATTTATACATGTTATAAATTGTTGAAATAAATTATTGTGTGGGGGTTTTTTTAGAAGCAGGAGACTAACTCCCATGGTGTGCAATGTTGTGTCACTGAGGTCAAAACACCCATTCCTGTCAAGTGTAATCAATGAAATACAGCTAATGTTGCATATTCTGCTCAAAACTGTACATGTACAATGTACAATCTGACAAGAAACAACAGTAAAGGACAGAAAAAGACACGCCTTAAGCAAAAGTCTCCATTTGCCCTCCATTTAATTCAATTGCAATCTAGGAGAACCAACTGTGATATTATTTCCTACGAGCCTTGCTTACTTGCATCAGTTCCAGCTTTTTTTTTTTTTTTACTCAAAACTTTTTTCTCTTACAGTACAAGCAAGTGGAGCAGTACATGTCCTTCCACAAGCTTCCAGCTGACATGCGGCAGAAAATCCACGATTACTATGAACACCGCTACCAGGGAAAGATCTTCGACGAGGACAGCATCCTTAACGAGCTCAACGACCCGCTCAAAGAGGTGAGACACAAATACCTCATAGTAGTGCTGACCCAGGGTCAGAGCTAATGCGGCCACGGGAACATTTCAACCTAAGCATCTCAGAAAATAAGTGCTGATCTAGGATAATCTCCCTGTCTGGATGCATAATCGCTTTCATTTGGACATGAAAGGAAACATCTTATCTTAGATCTTCACTACTTCGCTATTATTTCAATGCTACGTACAGTTCTTTAAGCCCTAGTAACCGCTTATGGCAGATTTACTCATCTGTATCAGTAACGCTGTGTCAGGTTATTGGTAGACTGAGTTATAAAAATCTGATATCAGCCCCCCAACAGCCACAGCTGATGTTCTTATAGACAAATTAAGACTTTTAAGTTTTTTTATGATGTCATAAGGAAGATTAACATCTACTGTATGTCTGATTGAATATAATGAAATACATATTTAAAATAACATATAATAGCTTTATGTGGTATTTTAATAGTAAGTAATGATTTCCATACCAACATTACATTAAAAGTAAGTCTCATAATTATATCCCAGGAATACAACACAAAACACCCAGCGTGTTGAATTAAATATATGAAAGTACGCCATTAAAATTAAATCAATATGACATGAAATCAATGCTTAATGCTGTGATAAAAAAGACACCAATTCACATATACACAATGAGATACATATTAAATACTGTTAGAAGGTAAATAAATAAATTCTAGGTTGTTTTGCATAATATTACAAATGTGTTTTGCATAATATTTTGTATAATATTAAACATAAATATTAATTATACCTTTCTTGTTTTGCATAACATTAAAAATATTATCTTAAATACATTACCTTTTTGCATTACAGTTCAATTGTCAATTGTTTTTTAACAATAACAAATATTGTGATAAAAATTAAATTTTAATAAATAAGTATTGGGATATATATTCAAACAAAAATATTACACCCTTCTAGGTTGTTTTGCAAAATAATAAAAAATATTGTCTTAAAGGCCTGAATTGTCTTAAAAATTCTGATTAAAAGTGCCATTTTTAAAATAAATATTGAGATACATCTTCAATATTGTCAGAAGGCAGCAACATAAATAAATATTTTTCTTCACAATTTCTAAATTAAAAAACAAATGCTGCATAGTTGAAATCCTCTATACAATAAAAATGGAAAGGTCAAGCACATTGCATTGTGGGATACAGTACCCAACACAATGTGCTCTATTGTACATTATACTGCACATTTTGGTAAATATTAAAGGTCATCTAGATATTCTACAAGTACAAAAAATTAGCATGCAGTAGACATATGCATTGGAAATGTATCAAGATTACCAAGAATGCAGCACTCATGTCATCGTGATTGAGCAGACAGAGTGAGTGTCTATTATGACACAGCAAAATGAGAGATAACACTGACGGCATCATCCCCAAAACACCTTTAACTCCCGGCAGCACCTCCCTCCCTCCCTCCCTCTCTCTTCCATCTCTCTCTTTCCCTCGGTTGGTCAGGGCTGCTATTTTTACATGCACCGCCTTGTGACAAACCAGCTTTAAATAGATAAAGTCTCCAGCTTGTCTCCCTAGTGGAGGTAAAGGGTTGGACGTGGCTATCAAACTCATTATTCCTCCTGTGTGATTGCGGTCAGAACCTTCCTGACGCTTTTCTGACTACGCCACGATTTAAAGCTCAGTGCAAATTTATTCTTCACACCCAAGCCACACCAAACAAACACATCCTTCAGCCCGGAAGCGTGGAGACAAGAAAGACTGAAAATTATGTGCATCAGGCTTTCAGCTAATGGCTGAAGTGAGCTTGACACTGACTGTATGGGCACCATAAAATAAGCTCACTGCAATGCAGTGGGAAGACAGTCTATAGAGGCTGGTGATTGTCGCAGAGGAGAGCTAAGCAAAAAGTAAAAAAAAAAAAGCTTTGAAATCTGTAGTTTAGAAAGTCATTTTTACATTGCTCAGCCCTACTAAATAATATGTTAAATATTCACAACATATTTGTTTTTGCTGATAGTTAAAAATGAAGCAACATTGTGATTATATATAATTTAAGACATAAATACTGAGATCACGTTGTCAGAAGGCAAAAACATTAAGAAACTTTAAATTATTTGTTTATATGACACCTTTCTCGGCTGTTTTACAAACAAATAAACAAACACACAAATAAATAAATATTTACTGTTTTCTCTGTCTCTTGTCCCACAGGAAATTGTGAATATGAAATTAAGCAACAGTGTGATAAAAAAACACCCTTCCTGTCATTTCAGATATAAATATTGAGATACATATCAAATATTGTCAGAAAGCAAAAAACATTCAAATAAATAAAGTAAATGAATAAATAAAAATACATGTTTTATTTATAGTACACCTTTTTTGGTTGTTTTACTAAAAACACAAAATATCAAATATATTAAATGTTTTACTTTTTTGCATTACTATTCAGCTGTTGATTTAATATTGAAAAACATTCAGATAAATAAATAACCAACCTAAATAAATAAGTAAATAAATAAATGTTTTGTTTTTGTTAATATTACATAAAAAAATGCTATCTTAAATGCGTTGTATTTATTTATTTATTTCCTATTCTATGTGTCTTGAGTATGTATTCTTTCCGTTTTGTCCCACAGGAAATTGTGAATGCAAAATTAAGCAACAAATTATTTGTGATAAAAACTTAAAATTAATGAAAAAAATTAATAATATTAATAATAATAATAGTAATAATAAATCTTTTACACAATTTCAGTTATAGATAATACATGCATATCAAATATTTTTTTAAAGAATAAATAAATAAATACATGTTTATATTACACATTTTAGATTGTTCTACAAAAACGCAAAACATCACAAATATACTGTATTACGGTGTTAAAGGGGTCATATGATGTTGCTAAAAAGAACATTATTTGGTGTATTTGGTGTAATGAAATGTGTTTATGCGGTTTAAGGTTAAAAAAAAAGATTATTGTTTCTCCTCTATGCCCCGCCTTTCTGATTTTTACAAAGCTCATCGTTCTGAAAAGCAAGGTGTGCTCTGATTGGCCAGCTATCCAGTGCGTTGTGATTGGCCGAATACCTCAAGCGTGTGACGGAAATGTTACACCCCTTACCATATTCTCGGAGCGACGAGACAAAAACATTAAAACCCATTATAAACGAGGCATTTGTTGCATCCAGTGGGGACATCATTATGGATTATAATGACTTGTACCGTCTTTTGATGTGTTGCATCGCGCCGCGTAAACATAAAACCCTTGTCTGCATTTGTGATCGGAGAAATGACAAACAAAAAGCGCTACTCTACACTGCCCAAAACTCGCGTTTGAATCGTCAGTGGCAAATCCACAATCCAAATATGAAAACGTACGTATAGTCTGTGAGTCAGAACAGCCGGCATTGTAGTGTTACTCTACCAGGATCAGGAAACAGTCCTCCATAAAATGTGCTGCACACATCTGAATATTTGGGTTGAACTGTTCTGGAACAGTGTTGTAAATACAACTTAACCACTGATTTCTAGTCGTGTCCTCTTTTAGAAGACCAAACAAAGTAGTTTCGCTTTCACAACGAAACACACAGCGTCTTCACGACATGGCGGCAGCAACAATACTACAGCGAGAATAAAAGTTATGCCTTCTTTCTTTGCGTGAACATTTGGGCGGCGTTATGCAAATCTTCCCACATCGTGACGTAGATATGTGGGGGCGTGTTAGAACGAGCCGTTTTAGGTAGGCGTGGTTGACTCTTAACTTTTATAAAGAGTATCTCTTTGGATTTGAGACTTTAGTCTTTGCAACTTTACAGATCTTCTTTATGCACCAAGAGCTTGTAACACTCCAAAGAGAAAGGAAAAATTGAAATCGCATCATATGACCCCTTTAAAAAAAAAAAAACGTAAATGCATTTTTCTTTCTTTACTGTTTGATGTCTTTTGATCGTGTTTTCCTTGTTTTGTCCGACAGGAAATTGTGAACTTTAATTGTCGTAAGCTGGTGGCCACCATGCCATTGTTTGCAAACGCAGACCCTAACTTTGTGACGGGAATGCTGAGTAAGCTAAAGTTCGAGGTCTTCCAGCCTAACGATTACATCATTCGCGAGGGGACCGTGGGTAAAAAGATGTACTTCATTCAGCATGGAGTGGCCAGCGTCATCACCAAATTCAGCAAAGAGCTGAAACTCACCGACGGATCCTACTTTGGAGGTCAGTTCAAAACTCAGATTGTTTCCTCCGTTTCTGTCAGATTCATTCATGGTTTAAAGCACAATTACAGCACAATCAAATAAAAATACAAACATTAACCCTAACCAGTGCCATGCAATTCCTGCAAGTACATCATTTCGTACTGATGGACCAAAATCAAACTGACATGTACAGTACAAACCACAAGCTTTTAACTCTGAGAACAGCCACACAGTGTTTTATAATTCAGAGATTATGTCACGAATGACCTTGATGTCACATGTTCTTCAGTGTTACCTAAGCTGCACAATTGTGGGAACAAAAATTTAAATGAAATACATTTTTCTCACGATTCATGAAGGTTGTGCCTGCTCTAGCATGGCTGCACTGTGATGCCAGCCACCTGCTCCAGTGGAAAACCATCTGCTACTGGTATTTTGGCCCGTAGCGGGAATGCTGCTGGCATGTGTGCGTTTGTACACGGGGGCGAACGTGTGTCAAAGCTGCTGGCAGTGTCAGGAAATCTCTCCCTCTTCTCTGCCTTCTTATAGAAACTCAACACACATTGACCTTGGTCCTATATTGAAGGGAGATCACACAAAAACATGCAGGACAACCCGATTTACTCACTTGTTAATGGTTAGCATTAAGTCGAATTGCGTTCAGTGTAGTTTTTTGACCGCCATGCAATTTTCAGTGACCAATACCAAAGCTGACACTGGAAATTCAGGAAAAAAAGTGTCTAGTATTTATTTATTGACTGATTAAAAATAGCTGAATAGCAATATATAGCTATCAGCAATTAATTAATAAAAAATAATTTCAAATTCTAACTAAATGCTAAATACTATTTATTTTAGTTAGTTAGTTAGTTAGTTAATTCGTTATAATAAAACAATTCATTGTGAATAATAATTTTAATAATAAAAAAACTAATTAAAATATGTATTACTTTTATTATTATTATTAAATTAAATACAAAAGCAAGTAATTGGGTCTATAAATCCAAAACATTTGTACTGATGCTTGTACTTTAATACCATGAGCTGTTACATTTTAATAATAATAATAATAACAAAGAAAATAAATAATAAATAAAAATAATTACAATTAATTTTAATAAATATAAATTAAGAAAATTAGGACTATTGTAAAGTAAATTATGACAATGATGACTATTATTATGTTTTTTATTATGATTAGTATCACCATTATTATTATTACAATTAATAATAATTAAAAAGGCTTATTTTTTTATACAATTAGTGCATTAATTGTTGTTGTTATAGTACTAATAAATACAGACCAAAAAAAGTATTATTATATAATTATTATTATAATTGACTTTTGGAATTATCTGAAATCTTTGCACTGATTCTTGCATCTTTAAAACACATGCTGTGGTTTAATTTAAATTTTAATAATAATAATAGTTATTGTTATTATTATTATTTGTCTTATTTATTTATTTATTTTTAAGCATGCTGTGATTCAAAGCATCCGTGTAAGTAAACTAAAGTTCTGGCAGTGTGCCGTGAGGTGAGGGCCAGTTAAGGTGAAGCGCTGATCACGATAAATCAGGCAAACCCCGTCGATTAGCTCACAGCTGGGATACGTGCCAAACCGACAGACCTCCAAGGCTATGAGGTCAAGTGTCATTTCCATTTGCAGAGGCCCGAGAGGAGGGCTGGTTGATTGGACGCTCTTTTGTCAGGGTGAGAGAGACACCTTCACACATTTGCTAGCTTAGGTGCTAACTCGTTCAGGCACTCATCCACCGCTGGCAGCCAGCCACAGACGTGCAAAGTAAGACAATTACTACTGGAATCTGAAATTTCTTGACGTTTCATCATATTGTTGCTTTCAGACTCTCTCCATCTCTCTTGACTTTTCTGTCGCTGTTATTGGGCTGTGAAAATGGGCATTATGGTGACATTTGAGCCTAATGAAACAATTAGAAATAGAACAGCAAGCGCAAAGTACTTTTGCCGTCCTCACCTTTATACTGCACCGCATGACGCAAGAGAGATGGCACTTTTCCATTAAAAAAAACTCCAACACCTTGTTCCCACTCCCAGCTGGAGAGTGTTGTTAGCATGTCCCGCGGGCTGACTTTTTCCACAGCATTTTTCTTGTCCAGGACAAAATGTCAAGGGTATCATCTCTAGACTCTGTAAATAATGCGACAAATCTGTCATTTTGAAGCACAGGATGAACAGTCCTACATTTACAGCAAATATATTCACAAAATCAGTAGTCATATGATATTTACTCCAGCTTACAGACATTATATATAGGAGTATGTACCCACGCACATTTCAAGGTTAAAGACAGGACCATTTGCACTTCTATAAGCACTAAGGACTTTTCTTCCCGAATACAGATTAAACCAAATTGTGGACAAGATTAAACTGCCACTGACGACTCAGGTTCATTGACAACAAGGTTCATTACAAATCTCTCTGTGAGACACTTTGAGTATGTACTTTGTTCAATGAAACACTTACTTCTCAACCATTGATGGGGCACAGTTTCAGGTATTACATTAATAATAATAATACAAATGATAATAACAACAATAATAATATTTCTTTGTTTAATAATATAAGTAATATTGTCTTTTTATAATAATAATAACAATAATCATAATAATAAACAATCACAATAATTCATTATTATTATTATTATAGTTGTTGTTGTTTTAAATAATACATACACTTATAAATAAAATGTTATTGTTATTATACAAATAAAGCAAATATATTACTAAAATACAAACAAAAAGAAACAATCAATTGAACAAATACATTTTAAAAATATTATTATTATTATTAGTGTTATTATTATTATAAATAATATAAAAAATTATAAATAAAATGTTATTGTTATTATACAAATAAAGTAATTATATTTATATTACAAAAATACAAACAAAAATAAACAATCAATTGAGCAAATAAATTATTATTATTAATCAATAATAATAATTGTTGTTGTGGTGGTTTCTTTGTATAATAATATAAATAAATGTTTTTCTTTTAAAAGAAATATAAATCAATATATTTATTTAAATAAGTAGTAGTGCTGTCAAACGATTAATCGCATCCAAAATAAAAGTTGTTGTTTACATAATATATGTGTGTATACTGTGTATATTTATAATGTATATATAAATACACACACATACAGTATATATTTTGAAAATATTTCCATCAAATACAAATAAAGTATTTTTAATTTATAATCCAAACAATTAAAACTACTACTACTATTATTATTATTATTATTTCAAATAGGTGAAATAAACAAATACTTCATAATTCACTATTTAGTGCTGAAGTATGCGTAGTTAGTCCAAACCTTTTTTCGTAATTATAAAAATATATGTTCTTGGAAAGCTCACCAACCAAGCTACACAAGGCAGCTCTTCTAGAAGCTCAATAAATTAGTGACGTTCGGTCTATTCCTATAACACAAAGTTGCTGGAAAATATACTTTTGGAAAGCAATGATACAGATGTTATTAAATTGTCAACAATAGCCTCACTTTTTTTTTTTTTTTTTTTTTTTGCTTCCATATTGTGAGGAAGAGTACCTCAAGTTTGTACAGAACTGGGGAAAACTGCATTTTCATATTATGCACCCTGGGTATGGAATAATTTACAAAAAGATCTCAAACTAGATACATTTGTGTCTACTGGTGAATTTAAAGGTGATTGGTGATTGCTTTTGTTGAGAGGATGTTTAAATATTGTTGTAATGTGTACTTCTTGTCTTACTGTATGGCTGCTACCTTGGCCAGGTCGCTCTTGAAAAATAGATTTTAAATCTCAATGAGACTTCCTGGTTAAATAAAGGTAAAAAAAAAAACAATCCAAAAGAAACAGCATTAATTCCTTCTCACATGACTTGCATCAGAGCTTCAACACAGGTAAATGCTAAATTCAGTTACCACATGACCTGCAAGTAAAGTGTGTTCCAAAACCAACCAGTAAGAGTGATCTTATTAGTTTTTGATATTCACAGAATAACATATTAAACCAGATACGTCACGTGAATTCACACCCTCATGCTATGTTTATATGCTAATCTGATGCTCAACCGGCCTCCTTCTGCAACGAGTGACCTCCATTATATAAAACATGTAATATCTTCAATTCATCTGTTTCCCACAGAGATCTGCCTGTTGACGAAA